TTGAACCGATAGTTCTGCCTAGACCGGGTTGTCCCTAATTTGAGGTACGTTGTTGTACTACCATTGATTCATGATTCATTATGCAGTACACGTAGATTTCCCAGCCTTGTGTTCTGACGCGAATTTGGGGGGCTCGATATCTGCGAGTCACTCTATCATCGGACGTCAATCCGGTACAATATCTATTGAACACACACTTCAAGTGCTTTGCTCTTATATGTAAATGAGATTCAGTGCTTTTTCTTGTTTCATTGCGACCAAATTTCGATTGGACGCTCTTTGTTGAACTAACCGTTGCTCTCGGCTATATTGAACCCCTCATGGCTGTAACGCTGAAGAATATTTTGCTTGATCTGTTAAAGCAAGCAGAATTTTCCTATTAGTGCAGAATTATCTGAAAGGTAATTCGAATCATTCATTTTCTAATTTACCTTTTATGACCTCAGATATTTTCTGTGAATATTTTGGTTGGATAGTGAATCAGGCTCACTATTAGAGGTATGACTGCCTTATGTATTTGTGATTGTGACAAAATAGTACCGTAAATTATATCTGGATCGACGTGGTTCTCGTTAATTTGAACTACGCGTTGCTCTGAGCTTTGTTTATCGCTATCCAGAACGAGCGAAGGGTCATTTGATTGAACGCATACAGACGAGGTCTTTCTCGTTTCTCTCGAAACAAAGCAATCGCGTTTTGATCGTTACATGAACAGTTATTATTTACTTATTTGATAGCTTTTTAATGCAGTACTGCATAAACTTGCTGCATCGTCATTTTGTTGGCGTTTTGGGATCCGATTTCGGCTAAACGTTACTTGTTAATTTCTCCGGGAGACACAGCATTTTTGCTGCGCATTTTCGTTTTAAATATATATACTTTCGGGCATTCATCCTTTCTGCGTATTCTTTCGCCACATACTGTGTCCCCTCTCTCCCCTTCTCAGCTGGGTATTACCCCAGACTACCTAGTTCCGCATTTTTGTTTCAGATTCGGGTGGCTTTGGCCTGCCGAAGGCTTGAGGTCCACACCCACAATGGACAATTGGCTCCGGTAATGGTTTATAGGCGCGGGTGTCTCCACCGTTTAGACTACATGCGTCCGCATTCCGGACCAGGTTAGGGATCACACCCCCTTCCTCACCTACAAGGTGTTTTGAGGTTAGGTGTCTGGCGTGTAGTCAGTTACACATCAAAGCGACCAACGCCTCAATAATATAAACCGAACAGTCGATTAACGATGAATCCCCGAAGCCCATGGTTCCCTGTTCACAGAAACAATTTCAACTGTATCGACATTTGAAAGTGTTTATTTATAATACATTTGTCGTCTCTTTTTGAATCACTGTGCTCTTCTTCGGCTCGACCGCAAATCTTCCTCTGAAATCATGAATCTTTCACCGTGACTATTCTCCTTCTGTTCTTCAAACTCTTTTCCGCGCCATTGTTTCCGAGGGGATATTCCCACTTTAGGTTTTGTGTCTTTCCAAATGATCTTCTTAAAACAAACGTTTACCTTGATGTGCTTCAAATAACAGATCACCTCCAGCACTCCATTATATGACCTTGTCCGCTTTGTGTTTCTTTTCAACGCAATGCACATTTACGATATCTTCTGTACCCGTTTGAAATTTACGTTCCTCCCCTCTCTGTAATATTATCTTTTGTTTCAACCGTCAATATTACATTGATGTGCATTTGATTATGCGCTCTAGCATGCTTCATGGGCTTTGTGAAATATGCCGTTATTAATATTATTAATATGCAACAGTCTGCGTTTAGAGTCGACAGTATGCAGTTTCTCAGCTACATCTTGTCTCGGAAAAGGATAGAATCAAGTGAAAAACTTACAAACACTTTTCCTCCACTGAACTTCCATGACACGATTTTCAAGGAGCGCTCAAAATCATAACAGGATACATATAGGACAGAGGCAAATCCGTTGAATACTGAATGCTATATGCGAACCACAAACCACGTCACACACAGACGGCTTTCTGTGTTATCGCTGCGGCTTTAAGTTGTAAAGGATTTGGAATAAGGAAAGAGTCTCCTAGAGCATTATTTAAAGGTTAACGCCAGACAACTTTACGCATTCCGGGGTCAAAATTTCAAAAGGACAACATCCAACCGAATGACAAAGCGACAGCTCGTGCTGTAAGAACGGACAGCCCAGATGACTCATTCGAAATACCAACCAGTTGAACCTTATCTATTAAAAACGCCAATAAACCGTAGGAGATAATGTTTAGTTCTGTTCAGTACAGTTCAATTTGCATTGGTGCCAATGGTGTATAAAGCTCACTCGGACAACCCGCCGGAGTGCTCTCTTCGTTTTTTGTTGCCGGCATGCTCTTGCCCTCAGTCGATGAGGCACCGCGGAGGGGATGACGGCTACATTAGCCCTACGAGCCACCGTAACGCAAAACTCCTTACTGGTCTCCAATTGAGTAGGTACATCATCTGGCCTAGCCTTTCGAGCAGCTGTGGGTGTTGTCATCCGTCCTACTGGGGTGGGCTCTGGACCTTCTTCGTTGCGACTGTGTCCTGTTGCTGGTAATGTTAACGTAGCTGAGTCAAACCTGGACGTGGATGTGTTACCTTGAGATGCAAATGCGGGTGACTGATGGTGTATTCTACGGAGCTATATCCGGGGTGAGTCACCCCGGGAATCGAGATATATCCTGATAGTTGGTGATGAATAGCGGCAAAGGCCAGCATGCATAGATGTGTTATTCGATTCGATGCCAACCTTCCCATTCGTCGGACGCTTTATTCTTCCCGTCTCCACCAGCACTGCATCCCGGAATCTCTGCTTGCCAATTCGGTTTAGTTCAGTTCATTTTGCACAGGACAGAAAATGGCCACGGCCAATCGAGCGTCCAGGATTCCTTCGGTGGTATGCGGTCAAGTATGGCACCCACCAGTGAGAAACGTAGTCCTTAACTTTCTGGCTGAAAAAAAGAAGGAAAGGGAAAGAGGCCTCATCTCACCTCCAAGACGAGAGGTTGTTATACGTGGGCGTTCATCTTCCAGGCTACATCCCAATACGTGGCAGATCGAAAACAAAACATGCAATCTAAGTGACCCGCTCCTAATCCTCTTGCTTTCCTAAGTCTCTAGCTGGTTAGATCTCCACTTCAGGAACAAGTTCACACCACCTTTCGTCCAGGACAGTATTGAATGCTAGCACAGTCTGCAGTTCTACTAGCTCCACAGGTAGTCTGTTCCATATGTTGACTACCCTGTTGCTGAAGAAGTGTGATCGAGTTATCAATCGAGAACAGGCCTAGGCTAGCTCCATTCCGTGCCCCCTTGTACGGGAATCTAGCGCTACCTGTCACAGGGTATTAGGTCTAATACCAGACAAACCATTCATTATCTTAAATGTTTCTATCATATCTTCCCTGAGCCTTCTCTTTTCTGAAGAGAACAGTCCCAGGTCCTGAAGCCTTTACTTTCAGTCTTTACCTGGCTGACCCTTAACCATTTTCGTTGCCAGTCGTTGAACGCGCTCTAAACAGGCGGCATCCTTTTTGATGAAGTGTGACTGGTACTTACTTCAACAAGTATTGTGACCTAATTTCCCTAAGCAACATGTTTATCGAATTTTGGTTCACCCAATCCCCTCCGTTCTCGTCCGTGGCACATTCTAAGAAGGTAGCTGTGTACACTTTCTTAATCC